CGCCTGTCTCGACCGTGTGGCTGGCTTTGCTGGTCTCCAATTTGTGGTCATCATGGCTGAGACGTGGGCGCAACTGAAGAAGGCCACTCTACCACCATCGTCTTCACAGTCGCATTTCATCAAGGCCACCGAAGGTAATTCGTCTTTGAAGTACATTGTTTACTTAATGAATATAAGTAGTTATGGTATAGTACAGTAATAACTTGCACTGTTTTTTACATTTAACTGCAGCCATCAATTTTAAAAAGTGTATCCTCCGACTTCTAACTATTCACTCGCCCTGTGTCAACGAGGATTGTGCTGACTCACACAAAAAAGATGGTGACGCAGTGACATCTCCACCAGTTTTAACATATCTGCACCAGTGCAGAAAGATATTGGACTTGCTGGAAGAGACGGAGGAAAACGAGGACCTGCCGCAGTGGCTGCGTCTTTCTCGTTATTGCTTTACCCTCCTTGATTTGCATGACCAGCTGGCCAGCCGCGGCCTCCTTGACAATGTGCGCTTCGATTTGGGCATTGGAGCTCGTTCGCTGGCACAGGTTGCCAGTCTCCTCTCTGATGAGCGTGGCGTCCGGAATTTGGTAGCGGGTTGGATCAACATCTTGATCCTCTATCGGCAGCAGTTGGAAGCATCTACGCAGACCACCGCTGCCGCGGTAGCCGACGGCACAACAGTTGCGGCCGCCTCCGGGGAACGTCATATGCGCTTTCATCTGCGTGGCAGGGCTTCCAGTAAGGAGGATCAAGCTGATCTGAACGAAAAACTGAGGTGCGTTTCGTTACTTGATGCACAGCTCTCATTCAGGAGGGGGGTATTCTCCGTGTACGGCATTATCCCATGGTTGCCTTTTGTTGTTTGAAAACTACTGGCTGATGTCAGAAATAAGTATATCTTCAGAAATGTAAATTCAGTTTATACGAAAGAATTACAAATCGTATCAGTTTATTGAAGGAAAGATATATCTATGTAATGTCAGTCTATCGATATCGTTAGCCCCTGTATCGCTGCCCATGGGGCTCGAAATTGAGCCCCAACGCAGAACAGGACGAGCGCGTCCCGTAACCGGTCGGCGAGTACCTCTCTCCTATTGTTAATATTCTCGATCGAAACCGGCAAGACAGTGGACCCTTGGCTTAATGGTTAGAGCGTTGGATTTCTAATCAACAGGCCCCGGGTTCGAGCCTCCTGTAGGGCACCACTTGGGGTTGGTTATGGTTATCTGATGACGAATAATAGGCCAGAATTAACCATATAAATCTCCCTGATCTTTGTTGGTAATGTTCTTCTATCCATAATACTAGTCGCTATGGGACTGCTGGCGGAGTTCAAGAGTGAGCCTCGAGGTTATATTTGTATGTAGGCAGAAGCACTTTAACGACGAAGTCCACCATCCAACCAATGAACTTAAAGAATATCTAGGTGTCTGAAAATGGTATATATTGAATGAAAGATCGGGAGAATGTGGTTAAGCCTTTACTGTCGCAGCGCTTTGATGAAAAAAAAACGCTCTCATTAATTTCGAGTCCTCCGGGATACCTACAGGTAAAAATGCCTTATAAGTAACACCACAGTAACAAAAACCTCATGTTTGTGTAATACGGGACCGGTGGTAAAAGAGTTAAATGGGTGGCTCATATCAGGGAAAGGAAAAACAACTAAAACCAGCAGAGCATATAAAAGTATAAAAAAATAATGCGAATGCATATTTAAATGTCCTAACGTGTGGTGTGCGATCATTTAACTTAGAAATATAACCAATAGGAACCAAAAAGTTCGCAAAATGCGCAACTGTTCAAAGAACTGTGAATTTTTGAGATCAAAATAAAACCATAAAAAGTAGACTTTCTTCTCATTTTTAAAACTTACTATAGTTTCTAATGCATTAAGACGAGTATTGTAGTACGATAAGCCGAAGAGAAACCGCATGTCATTAACAAAACTAAAACTAAACTAAAAGGAAGCTAACATAAGTAGCTTAAGGTAAAGTAACCTCAACTAAAATGAAAACTATACTTAAGTAAAGCAAGACTAAAATAAAGCTTATAAAACGCAACAGTAAACTAAAAACTAAACTCAACAAACTCAAACGTAAAACCTAATTAAAAGCTTAACCTAACTAAAGGTAGCCGCAGCACGCTAAATATTTATGTGGGAGGAATGCAATGGAGTGGTAAATGCTGAATACATACGCAAGAAAACATGCTTGCTACAACGAAATAAGTAAGTATAGTAAAGTACGGTGTTGCCTACAAGGAATCCTTATCTCGTCCTATTCTTTGCAATACTTATTTTTACTGATATAGATACACTTGCCAATTTATTAGCCAAATTTAGCTAGTGTGATAGACGTGGAAGTCTGGAGGAAGGTTCGGATAGATGGCTGTCTTGCTATCATATCTCGGCCGGGACAAGTACCGCATTGATGAATATTAGCTCAGTGAAATGTTTATAAAGTTTGAAAATATATTTGCAATGACACGATTGCCAACTTAAAAGGGTACCATACCGCACCATTCTCCCTGTTCTCTCATTCGTCAGGGGAACTCTTTAGTGACGTACAGTAGATTGTATATCTGATGCAAGGTTGAGGATTGGAGGATTTAACTCGCACTTGAGGTTGTTTAGTTAGTTCATTGGGTTGAATTGGGTCGCAAAATGTT